GACATTCACCAACATACTGTATTACTGAAAAAATAAATTGGTGTCTGGTACTGGAGTTTATTATCATAATAAGAGCATACAAGTGCGGGGGGGGTGGTATGAACTGTATGATGTACTTGAAACAAATTCTGCACAGGGTCTCTTTCGTTTCAGGGAATGATAGAGAGTAAAGAGAACATATTCTTATGTACATGTATATATTCTCATCTGAATATTCTCCTATCAATTGAATAGAATATTTTGGAATTAATATTCGTCCCGCAAATAATTTTAGGTTCTTCTTCTAAAAGGCACCGTATAGGCGTAAGTTCATTCGAAATCTTCAGCACTTTTCCAATTTCGTAACTTTTTTTTCATCAATTCTTCAGAAGAAAGGTACAAGAGATTGAAGAAAGTAAATCAATGGAGTAAGGATAATTTCGAAAGGACTATGTATCATCTTTTTAATGAGGATGAGGCGCTAGTTATATGTTCTGCACCTCCCCCACCTGACGCCCGAAGAACTTCTTTCACTTTCTTAAAAACTACTAGCCTGCGCCACGCAGTGTCGGAATCCATTATACATGCATGTTTAATAACTCTGTTGAAAAAAACCATTGATATGGAACAAAATAATGTGCGGGTGTGAGAGCCGGTGCAGCTGTCCAAACCAGCATTGGAAATAAATTGACTGCAGAGGAAATGACCATAACGGGGATCCCGAAAACCCTTCCGGAAATAATACTTTCATGATAGTCAGGAAAGGCTTTGCACAAACCACCAAAGGGGCCCTCTTTTCCAAATGCCTTTTTTCTTGATGAAAAGGAAGTTCCTTTGAAAGGGAAGTTCTTAACCCTTGAGGGGGACAGCAGAGGGTTTTTTCCCATAGCTGGACAGAGTCAGAATATTTTTGTATCCTCCAGCATTTTCATAATTTTGAAGGTCAGGAAAACCCTTCCAGGTGGGCTGAGCAGAAGTTGGTATAAATCTAAAAGAAAGCTGGTATTGCCTCACAAAGTATTTTTTAATTTTCCCACAAAAATTTTCTATGCCCAGGGAAAAAAAAAACATTGGGATTTTTCCCAACTTCGCCCTTAACCCCCTGTTGGAATATTTTTCTTCACCTCTCTGAAGTGCAACAAAGTTTTGCAAAAATAGTCCAACTTTTCCACCTAAGGGTTAAAATGCCCAAAATTGAAAGATCCCTCATCAAAGAAGCAGTGGATTGAAACATCTTTGAAAATATCAACTAGGGTAAAATCCTACTAATTGTTGCTTGGAAGAAAGAAAAACCCCCAAGAAAATCAACAAGAGCAGTTATTGATATGTAACCACCTTATTTTCAGTGCAGTATGCACATATTCTGAAATCATTTACAAGATCCCAACAAACTCCGAAAGCAAGGGGTATGAAAATCACTCACTTCAAGAAAGTTCCGTTAACTTGCTGCTAGTTTGCTTCTGGCGCATTGAGCAAATCACAAAATTTGTAAGTTGTCCCACACAAAAGACAACCCCATTCTTTCTTATAAAATTTTAGTGACAATTGCTCTTGCACACACCCTTGTAAAGTTGTGAACAGCAATAAATTTGCGCATATCTGCTGCTGGGTTAATTCACCACAGGTTGGTTGCACATCAACCACATGATGCTCAAATACTTGATTTGCGTAACCTCTTTCCTAATCTCTCACCAAACCTCATAATTATTGTTTGACTTAATTCACTAAGACTTGCGCGCCTTTTTTCTCCCTCATACTCCAATAGAAAATGCTTTTCCGTCACGTATTTGAAAAATCCACATTATTGTATGTTTGTTAGCACATAAACGTGGCTTCTGGAACTGCAACTGTTGTCCACATGAATAAGCAAAATGGAAAACCTTTCAGATGGCGTGGAAAGACAAGGAATGAAGATTTAGCTTGAAATCATTTTTGTCTATTATTGTGAACAAGAAGTTGATCCGTGGCACAGGTACAACAAAAGCATTCTTTAACAGAATGCCGCAACATTTTATAGGAGTTTTTTTTTCGAATTTGATTGAGAGGATAATTGAACAAGTTTTGGCTCACTATTACTACTGATGGTCTTCATATTGGTGTTTTCCTGTTGAAAAAAATTTTTGGGTGGGTATGTAGTGCATGAGTACCTATACCTACAAATTCAATCAACTCATGTCCGACACAAAAAAATACTGTACTACAATATGTACCGAAGGAATCAACAGAATTTTTAGTGCCAGAATTTAAATCGGTTTTCAATAAATGACCTACCACCCGCCCTGAGTTTGGTGATCAAGCTTGGAATATAAAAGATTAAGCACCTAACAAAAAAGAATTCATTCAATATCATACTTCCGTGTTTCCAGATTTGTTCAGATTTTCAAAGTCACTCGCTAACTTTGCTAGTTGAAAAGTTGATGCACAGTTATTCCAGCAAAATCAATTAATATTCCAAAACCAAAAAACGAAGAATAAGAGGGTAATGAATCTCTGAGTTACATAATCCTATTTTCATTGTTGTCTCATCTGCCATGTGCTTACCAGCAGCAAGCTAGCATATATGTTGTATATGCATACTGTCATCTTATTTTATTGTGTGTCCAGAAATAGGTTACCAATACTTATTGGACTCCGCTGTATTTTCTACATACTGTTTTGGAATGTCAGGTTTAATCCTGCCAAGCAACTTGCTGCTCCAAAGCAAACAAGGTCATCCAAGTACATTGTATATGTGTGGTTCTTGGTTGTTACTGTGCCACCTTTCACATGTCCCTGTTCAGTTGGTTGCGCAGCCATGTCTGATCTCGGGTCTATAAAGTGTTGCAAGTGTACTTGTACAGGTACAGTATATCTATTGTCAGTCTGGCATTGGTTGGTTGAGCACAATATATATTGAAATATATTTCTTCACATTCTAAAACAAGAAGTCACATTCACTAAAACAGCCACAGCCTTTTTAAGAACTAATCTTCTTCTTATACCTAATGTTATCCTCTTTGTGGAAAGACGTTTCTGCAATAACAAAAGTTTATTTTTATTCAATTCTTGCAAATTTGGGATAACAGTACACAGAAGGACCAAGGGCATTTTTTTTCTTCAAATTAACTATGCTGCTGTGGTGCAGCTTCCAAAAAGCAAACGGATTTCCGTTGCATTCAAAAAACCCCAACAAACCTACTAGCTGCTTCACCCCAATAATTATTCTTGTCTTAATCATGAAGGAATCTGAATAAAATAAGCAGTATGTGGCCAATGAGGAGTCATATTTGAAAAATGGAAACTCCTTTAATGAACATGGTGAACCCACTACATGCAATACAGTACTACGCCCAACGGAAAACTCCAGCACATGCTCATCGCGGTCCGGCCAAACTGGCAACAATAAAGGAGGAAACAAACAAGCTGCTCTATGGGAATAATAAGGAACGCACACCTGTAGTCATGGCTGATACTTATATTGTACTGTACACTAAACCTATATGCCCGAGTCGGCGCGGTACAACTCCAAGGAAGCAAAGCGAGAGATCGCACAGCAAAAACGAATGATAACCATCAGTAGCTATTTTGATAGCCAGCGCTTTTTTTCTGTACAATGAAGATATATATACAGCACGTTACATACATTTACAGTACAGTACATGCACGCACACAGCACTTACAATAGCAGATTGTTCTGGTGGCGAGCACTATATACTGGATGAATACTGTATCTGGAAATAGAGAACGACGCGCTGAACCATTTGCGCTTATCGCGAATATGCACGGCGGAAATTGTGCGCGGCGACAGCATGCCGATCATAACGCACCGCGACGCAATGCTGTGAGGAACGAAGCGAACGATTTGGTTCTCGGCCGCAACAGGGGGCCTTTACTTCCATCTGTGTTTTTAATCTGTGGGATATTAACGTCGTGCGACCAGGCCGCCCGGAAGTTCCGACACCCGTCACTGGAAAAGTTTTAGCGCTGTTTGAATAGTTGAAACCGCGATACCACGGCCTTCTGCACTGTGAAAGTGTGTATATCATCAGCATGTGCGGATTGAAGAGTCCGAAAATTGGACGGAAAAAGGCGAAATATCTTCTCAATAAAGCTGCCAGCAGCATTAATATGTGAGGAGATCATCATCCCATTCGCTCGTTACGCATTGAAACCATTCATTTCCTGTGCATTCCGGCCGATAAAAGTCCTCATTACGAGTTCCCGAAAAATTCATTTGAATTTTAGAATTGATCAGGATGACATGTTGAGTTTACATATGAATCAAGATTTCCATTTCATCATTGGATTCGAAGCCAAATATCAGTAAGCCGAGTTCAGCATGGCACTTAGAGTCTAATCCTTATAAAAGACACCCCCCAACAATAAAAGGCCGCCACTCCTGGCAACCCCCATTTACTCGGAAAAGATGATCTTCCAATTACGTAAGCATTGGGAACCCCCGTTAAGGCGCTATACGGTTTCAGAATGCTAAAACTTCCGAGTCGTTCCTGAATCCCTTTGGTTTCAGACTTCCTAGCACATTAGAGCATGTCCAGCAGTACACTGCAATTCAAGCTGGTCTCTGTTTTTGCCCAACCTTGAATTTACGCAAAAGAAGACAATGCCCCAGCCCGTAAACTGGATTGCTCGACAACAAATTTCACCTGAGGTTCCCATCAAAGGGTATGCTTAAAGCATCAGCAGATCTAACAAGTATTAACACCAAACATCATCCGTTGAAAAAGATCTTTCAAACTAGAGAATCCTCATCACATGAAAGGAACACGGTTTTTTCATCAACACGGTGAGTTGGCGACTGATCCTCACATCGACTTAAGAAGCACTCGCGCTCTCCAGTTCAGGCACAGCATATGTAAATTAGTTCAATTTTGACCAGTGTTTTCATCGCTGGGAATGAGACAGGCTCATTATCGAATTTAGACGCGGGTGCAAATACTTACCAAAGCATCACCATGGAAGCCGATACATCAATAAATAAATAATGTGATTCAGGTAAATTCACGAAATCAATGTACAACTAATTCGAGAAGGCTCAAAAATCCTGCAGTTCCATTATTCCATCATCACAGAAAAACGTTTCGAACACGGTTTCTTTCCCACACCGTCGGAAGAAGCACACGAGGGAGCACTTCCGCTAAAGTACGATATTTTGTGCATTTCAAAAGTTATCATTTCGGGATTGATTGCATCACAAACCAAAAATCGTTCGTGCGAAGCAAGTGGAAAAATTACATCTTCCAAGAAATATCTGCTCTGGTGACGTGAAATGCGGCACACAGCACGAAATGAAGCAGTGCTATACAACTTGCGAAAAAAACACAAGAAAAGTGGATGACTCAAAACCCAAGTAGAGATAATCTGTCTGACTCCACGAGGTCAGGATACAGGGTCGGCACTCCACAGCGCAAGCGCAGTCGCGACACAGTCGACAGCAGCAGCGGGTGACACATCAACAGTTCCGTATCCGGTCTCTTGTTAGGATCCAGACTCAACAACGACGGCAGCAAATCCCTAAGTTGACTGGAATATTCATCAGGTGTTGGCTGCACTTGCCCGCGCATTATCTTCATCACCAATGCCGGCAACGACTGCGAGAACAGAATGCAAGGACCAAGGTTTGTCAACAAGTACAATAAGGAAACTTAATCTGCCTTTCGCCCATTTACTAGGGTTCCATGGAAAGTTCTCCGGATGTTGAATGAAACGGGATTCAAAAAAATCGTTCTCAAAAAGTCATTTCGCACAAGAAAAAGTTAGACATATTCTTCAAAAATTATTTTGTAAAATTCACGCTGGCAGCTTTCTGCTGTTCACTCAATAGATGAGGCGTCCATCTTGCAGATTTTTCGGTTTAGCTGAACTTCTCCAGAATTCTTGAAATTGACATGGCATGATTCCAAGGGTTGCCTCCATTACATCTTTCAAGGTACTGTATTTCTGCCATGTTATCCCAATTGTTGGGTCATCAATAAAATAGAAGGGTGTTACCTTAAACTCAAAACGTCTCTTGATGGATTCTTCGTTCCACTGTTCCTGTACTTACCATAGGACAACATTTCTACAGCAGTTTTATTCTTATGGCAGGGGTTGTATCGTACATAGTCAAACAAGACTTCTCAACTCAGGAGTACAAAAAGAGATATATTTTGCACATAAACATTGCACAGTCTAGGCTTTGTCAAGGAATGAATACCAAATATAATACAGTGGAAACTTTTATAAACTTGGGCCTTTTTTGGAATGCTGATGACTTCGCAAGCGTGAAAATGGAACAGGTGGGATACATGAAAGGAGAACAAGTGAACAACCAGCAGTGACCAGACACCCCGACTGATGACACCGCTTTTGTGCAAGTGGTTGCTAGATGGACTGTTATGCGAAAAAGGATGCACCAAGACAGGGCAGTAAGTATCTGTTTTAGGACGTCTGTAAAAAAAAAGGGGGAGATGATACCTCATCTTTCGTGTGAAGGCGACATTCGAAAAGTATTTCTAAAAAATCTGTCGAACAGTGCTGAATTTCTGTCTTAAGCGAAGGAATATTTTTTATGGACAATACTTGTGTTTCACATCAATCGTATGTCGAGTCAATTTATATTCCGGGAACATTTCTTAGAAACCTCGAACATGTGTCTAAGAACAGCAAAGGCGTACGAGAATTTCAATAGATATACTAATACAGTACTGTATAGGAAGACACCACGCACAAATTCCAAAAAACAAATGAAATCATATCTAAGTAGAAGTGTGTTGGTGACATTTTTACGCATTCCGTATTTAATCCAGGAATATAAAAGCGACGTTGGGGTCAAATTGAGTAAGATGGACGACACAAAAGACGGAATGGGCTCAGCAGGATCTCAAAAACTAGTACTCAAGTGAGAATGAAAAGAATAACTGAAGATATAGGAGAGCATCATCAATTTATGATTAATTTAAAAGGATTGGCCTTACGCTACACCATAAAACATTGAAAAATACCCTTTACACGGAGGATTCTCGGGTTAAAAAATAAGGTGGTAAACTCATTTGTCTATAATATATTTGCTTAAGCAGGAAATAATGGGAGAAAAGCATACTTTCTCTCGATTAAAAAGAAGCCGATCATCATTCTAACTTCCACAAACGAACCGAGAGAGATCCGTCGCCATGGTCGAATAAAGTTGAAGCCAAAAATGAATTAAGTAACGTAGTTTTCTGCCAAAAAATTTAATTTGCGACAAACCACATAATCCTGAGCAGATGGATACAAAATGCAGCTAACCGTGGCTTCGAAAGCTTTCTTCAGAGTCATCATTTCGTACAGAACACAGCCCAGTGCCCAGATATCGGATTTTTCGGCATAAGGCTTGCCTTCACACAGCTCTGGTGAGATGTAGCAAGGCGTTCCGACCACAGTCAGCGCCTTGCTCTTACTGGAAATGCAAACATCCTTCGACTCATTGAATTGAAACTTCCAGCTATTATAGAAAATCATCACGGAATGACACGCCGATTCGACATCCTTCGTTTTTAAATTATGGCGCTACACAACTGTCAGATGACAATATAAATCCAACAAACTTCCCCATGAGTTTATAAGTAAAACTAGCACAATTAAGATCAACATTTACCCGATTCAGAAAACGGGCAAAGCAAGCAAGAGATTTCATTCATCGGTGAGTACGAGAACAGCTTTAAGTAAGACTTATTATGATACAAGCGAAACATTCCATCCATAATTAAATTACACTATCCACTCCAACTTCCTGCTTACTTCGTAACAAAACTTCCTCAAAAGTCGTGGGGAACTGAAACTCCACCAAATAACATGTTTCGAGCTAAGACGGGAACTGCAATTCTCGGATAACTGATCCCCATGCGAAAACTGACAGCTTACGCTTGGACTAATATTACAAACAAGACGGAAAACATGGCAATGCTATGATCATGCAAAAATGTTCAATAAATAAGGGACCATCAAACGCACCTCGCCAGGATTTTTGAAATACCGAAATCCCCCAACTTCAACACAGTCAGATCCGCGCTTAGCAAAACATTCGCCGTCTTCAAATCTCGATGGAGGATGTGCTTCGAGTGAACGTGGTTCAAGGCAAGAACGAGTTGTGAGAACCAGAACAACACAGCCTTCAACCGGTATTGAGCAGAAGCATCAAGTGAGGAAGACAACGTTGAAAGCTACGGATAAATCACCTTTTCCGGCAACAATTGTCCATTCCTTGCCTGAATCAGACTGAACAACGTCCCACCAGGCATGTATTCCATTATCAATTTCAGTGCTTTATCTTCCAAAATACTTTCGAAGTGGCGAACGATATACGGGTGATTCAGCATAGACAACACTGTCGCCTCAACCATCGAGTCGTCTTGCTCCTTCTGGGTCATTCCTTCCGCCGGGATTTCCTTCATGATCACTCTCGACTTGTCCACCACCGACTCACACAAGTAGACCACCCTTGCAGACGAGCATCAACGAAGCAATGCCAAACTGTCAATTCTCTGCTCTGTGATGAAAGAGAATTAGGTCATACTCACCCAAATGATCCCCTGCCAACGGACTGTAGCTTCAAATACTTGCTACTCATCTGCAAACGAGACATGGTTCAAGCCACAAAAACGCAAAACAAGCCACGAAAAAAATTCAAAAACCAGGAAGATAGAATTATTCTTTTTAGATTTCTTTCGTTTTCCAAAAGTTTCAACAGATAGCCGGTTTTCCCCCAAAACCAACAACAAGCGGTGGGAGAATAACGCCGAAAATTTTTTATCCATAACACTGCTGAACCAAAGCCCAGCGTTTCAGCAGAAAAGCAAACGTTGGACCTTCCGAGAAATTGGGGTGAGCTTGGCCACATATCAAAAGGATACGACATGATACAAGCAAAACAAAGTGCTCAAATCAGATTTTTTATTGAACTTTTTTCCTCTTTGTCTCTTGATTCTCTCGAACGAATTAAGGTAATCGTACTCAACATGCCTATAAACAAACGCATGTCAAACCGCGATAAAAACCTCGCATCCTGGCATTTGCAAGCCGGATCACAGTAACCAGCAGAAGTGGCCTCAAGCTTCCCCATCAACTCCTCTCCATACTTGACGGACGCAGTCTGAAAAATCCCCTCTCAGCTAACAGAAAATATTAGCTCACGGAAAACAGAAAAAGCTTCCGTTTCCCACTTCACACCGGCGTGAATTAACAGAAGAAAAAAAAAACCGCACGCAAACGCCTTGGCACTTGTTCAAGTGAGTCTCATGCAAAAATCGATGCGTGCGCTGCAAGTATTATCGTGACTCGAATCAAGTCTCAGTGGTTTCACAATGCCTCTAAGATGAGAAAGCCGACAGCTGGACGACTAATTACCCTCCGCTCTACAGCAAACAAATCACAGAATCAATGATGCCTTCCGAGCGCGAGTTCTACGAGGGTAAATAAACCACCCAGACACAGGAGAACATAAAGCTCAGCGATGCTCATGAGTGACTTCACTCGCACCTTCTCAAAAACTCGCATGAATCAGAAAATAAGTAACTAGATTGCTGAAACGCATGCCTTCTCTCAAATGCCACAATAAGGAATAAGCTGGAACTGGCAATTGTTGAACAGAACAGGACAAAAGAACGCACAGCAAACCAGATGGCAGTGACGGTTCTCAATCACCAAGGGTACAAATAGGTGCAAATTAAAATTACGAAAAATTAGGGAAAAATATGGATTCCGGTTACATGAACATATGGAAGATTCGAATTCGGCAAAACACGAGAAGTTCACAGGTGGCTTCTTCCCAGGACAATCACTCCTCCCATTTTCTTCGAGAATGACCATTTTTCTCTGCTTTCGAGAATCTCGGTCTCGCCCTCAACTTTGGCGAGTCCTCGACACGAACATTCTTAGAAAAAAGATGCCCATCTTTCGCCTGCGGATATGCCACAATTAGTAACGAAAAACCACAAGTTTGTAAATCACAAGTCACGAAACGGACACTTATTCACACAACGCCTGAATTTTTCAGTCATGTGCAGCTTCAATTAAAAGTTAGCTCACTTCGCATGAACCTCAGAATATTTATAGCATCGAACTTGGCCTGTATGCAAAAACTCGATGCTCCAAGCATGGAAAAGCCGATTGAGACGTCAGTAAAACCCGACAAAGAAAGCTCCAAATAGCTCCGAGTTAGCGAATACGATAATTATTTCTAGCTTAAGTGAAGTTTCCGCTAGAATTTTATATAATTTAAGCATCCGCACGTCATGCTCATTGATAGTTACAATTAGGCAGGAAAATAATCACCGATCGTTGATTGAATGACACTGACCTTCCCGTTGATTTCCAGCGCATGATCCGCATCCATGAAACAAGGAATCATTCGACTAAATTTGCTCTTCTTTTTCTTGGAAGACGCTTCAGTTGCCACATAAGCCTTCCTGAAGAAATCGAGGAAGAGGAAAAAGAAAAGCACAGCATGGCCTCCTATCCACCACACGAATGCCTTCGGGTAGTCGCATTCAACAACAAGTAGCTGGAAAGCATGGGTGATGATGCAAACAAATTGCACCATCTGCAAAGAGGTCAGGTATTTCTTCCACCACAGATACTTGTGATATTTCGGACCCAAGGCTGCCACCAGGTAGTAGAAATACATCACAATATGCACAAAGGTGTTGATGAGGCCAAAAAACGTACTATGACCACCTGAAGAAATAGAAATGTCAGTGAACAGGCACGTTTCCAAATTTTTCCTCTAAAAACTTGCCAGGGGTAAATTTGACTCCAAACCAAACACTCATCGGCATGATTCCATGATGAACAACGTGCAGGGCAGATACATGCTCAAATTTCTTCCGCAGCACAAAAAATATCTAAGAAAACAGATGGAACGTAGAACATGATGTTACACTTTGAATCACCGTAAGATACTTTTACATGCTTACCGTGTCAAAAAATTCGCTAAATTTCGACATGTAATACCACCAAGACGCATGTACCATTCGCACAGCAAGCGGATCATCTGAATAATCCACAGGTTGGCATTTCAAACTGTAATTCTGGAACCAACCGGAAAAAAAAATCTGAAAGTATACGGGCATGGTGAGATGAAAGTGGTGTTCGTGAACAACGATCAACAAACATCGTACTCACATATTGGAACAACCAAACGCTAAAAAGAGTCTGAATCAAGTTGTATACAACCAAAATGGTCCTGAGACTGAACGGATCACGATGCTTCATGACTCTCGGACCCAACACTTTCACGACGAAAACATAAGCCAAACAAACCAAGGCGGTAGGAGCGGGACTGCTCATCATCAGCCATCCCTCAACACGCTTGTCTAGGTCAGAAACAAAATTGTACACCCTATTTCACTGACACACACCGAGCTTTCTCACCGCTTTTCTTCATCATCAGATCATCGTAATATTCTTTGACGACATTCCAAGTTTCCATCTTGAATGACTGACGGCTGTTCGTTCGTTTTTCAAAAGTTCAAGCTGAGACTCTGAGAGTCACAAAATGAAGTGCTTGCGTGCGAAAGAAATCTTCCTAGGCAAGTGGGTACGATTCAGTACTCCCATTCCCGAAGTTCAACAGAGATTGGACGCCTCAGGGAATTGAATCTGACGGAAGCATAAATTTGCGGAATGAAACTTCATCTTCTAGTTAAATAAAAGCGAAGTTATCACGAAAAATCGAGAAGGCAAATTATCGCTACGAAGACTCTCCCAGGCTTTAATTCACATTGCACTGAACGTTTTCAAGATTTCCAAGAACGACAGCTTAGACCACTAAAATGATGGACGATACATCCGAAAATCGAAGAAACACTTTCACTTCCTTGGTGCAGGGTCTTTCGGCGGCAACACGAAGTCCACTCCTGGTGTGTTTAAAAACTGGGAAGAAAATTCCAAAATGAGACGATGAAAGCACCTACACAATGCGGCAAACAACTAAATGCCTACCGCTACTATGCTGAATGCCATCCATGCGATGCCACCAAGAAGGACCAAGTTGTTGAAAGTATCACGTTTCTTTTGCTGTTCTGACCAAGATCCTTGAGGAATCGGAATTTCATCCATTGTGGGTGGCTTGAAATTCGGAATTGCAGCCATCATTCGGGCTGGAAAAACCAATAGCTAAAATATGGATCCATACATCACCAACAGGTCAACTCACCTGACTGCCGCAATGTCGGCAATGACTGAAAGCTCTTCGCGAATTTCATAGCAGTTCGTAACGACGCCATCACAAACTTTCAACAAACAAGGGGAATACGCAAAGCGTAATTTTCAATCTGTAAACAAAGAACTGTCCCTACAATCATAACAGGTCGACATAGTCGCCACCTGAATAGTGACGGTATACATGAAACACAGTTTCTCACAAATGCGATCATCTTACGAAGTCTAGCATTATAAACTGAACACAGTGGAATCAAAAGAATCTGTGAATGGTGGGCCACATCTCAAGAGACTGTGATCCTAACAGACGGTGAAGGTAATCACAAGCGCTAACTGCACAGCACTCTTCAGTCATGAACAGGGACATAGTCATGTAACACTGATCGCATGCTTCATGATAAAAATTGTTTCCACCATTCACGACACATAGGTGCAATCTGCATCGTAATACCTCGAGATACAAATACAGTCGAAGCAAAACTCACAGGGAAATCAACGGAGACAAATTATCGCTAAAAAGACTCCCTCATCCTTTAATTCACATTGCACTGAAAGATTTCTTGATTTCCAAGAACGACAGCTTAGACCACTAAAATTATGGACGATACATCCGAACGTAGGAGGAGCTTCTTTACTTCCTCGGTGCAGGGTCTTTCGGCGGCAACACGAAGTCCACTCCTGGTGTGTTTAAAAACTGGGAAGAAAATTCCAAAATGAGACGATGAAAGCACCTACACAATGGGGCAGACAACTAATTGCCTACCGCAATTATGCTGAATGCCATCCATGCGATGCCACCAAGAAGAACCAAGTTGTTGAAGGTATCACGTTTCTTCTGCTGTTCTGACCATGATCCTTGTGGAATTGGAATTTCATCCATCGTGGGTGGCTTAAAATTTTGAACAGCAGCCATCATCCGCACTGGAAAAAGCAGGTAGCATAGAGATGATCACACGTATTATCAATAGATCAACTCACCCGACTGGCGCAGTGGCTTCACGCTCTTCGCAAATTTCATAGCAGTTCGCAATGACGCCATCACGAGATTTCACTGCACAAGGCGGGGACTACGCGAAATTGTAATTTAGAACCTGGGAAAAAAAGAACCATGCTCACATTCATCAACCGATCATCATCATCATCGTCACAAAAACATGTGAAGGGTTCTATGCAATTGTCCTCTGAAGGACCTCCATTGGTTTTCAGGACTGCATCCTCAGCAAAATATGATGCTATTTAACTGGTGAAGGGACATTTTGGTACACTTTCCAACTCAATACAACTGCCTTCCTAGAGGGACATTTGCTTCCACTTCATCCCTCAACACCAGGAATGAGTGACTTAGTAAGATCCTTTGGGAAATGGACCAGTCAGGAGTACACAAAAGTACACAGATGTATTTCTCTTGACGGACGACACCCAGACGGGTGGTGTAGTTTCTGGCCAGAGCAGAACTCTTGGTTGGCCAAACTCTAGGCCACTGCACAGTAAGGGATCCCCTATTGGGACCCTTAACTACGACATCTAGCCTCCTCCTTGGAAACCTCACGAACCCTTCAGAGCTCCCACCCAGGCATTGCCAAGCTGTAGATGCTTATCACAATCGGTGGAGACGAGCGAGAAGTGGGAGAATTACAGATTCATTCGGTTATTGACTTCTGACCTGGAAGCATTGTTTTGAGCCTTGACTGTTATATTGTTTGTTTGTGTTCTGTGAGTTTGTGTTGTGCGGAATTCTCAAGTATCCGGATTTGGATTAAATCTCTGGACTAAGTGACGTTAACCGAGGACTACTTTATTCACGATCTTATTGGGGGCTCGTCCGGTGTTCCCTGATCGTGTTAGCATCACGAGAATGACCCGCAACACGGAGAATTCCAAAGCAGTGGGGTATGTACAAGAGCCTACCGAGCAAGAGCCGGGTCCGCCAGCAGAAGCAGCGCCTGCCGGGCCTTCCGCTCCTTGACCGGCTCCCATCCCACCGCAATCACGGAGCCCCTCATCCCAGTCACATGCCTCCTCAGGCAGAACGTGGGAGGGCATCCTGTTACCGACTCTGCAATACCTCACGGAGGCATACCGCCTTGAAGCGCCCCGGAAAGCCGACCATTCAGGATATGTCGCTTTACTGGAAACCAACGGCATCCCTCCTTTGCTGGCACAGGGTTGGATCCCGCCACCCGGATGGCACCAGCGACCATTCGACCTCCAAATCGTTCCATGGGGAGCAGCAGTTCAACAGGAGATCGTTGTCGTGGGACCAACTCCACCCCCTTACCAGCAGGCACCGCATCAACATCCAGGAGAACCTCAGCTCGCCGATCTTCCCCGCCAGCGAGAGAATGAGACCTTCAAGGATTACGCGGACCAGTTACGACGAATGCCGGCTGTCAACAACGTCTCAGCGGACATGAAGGTTTGGTGCTTAATTAACAAAACCCAACCCCTGGTTTGCAAAACGGCATCCATTCTTTACGGGCGCGGTATTACGGAGTTCGAAGACCTCGTTGCGGAGATCGCAATCTCCCACCCAACCCCACACCTGGACAGGCTGGACCAGTTCCGCCAATTACGTCCACAAAATGGGGAGAGTTTTATCAGTTTCAGGGGGAGACTCGAACATACCTTCAACTCTTTCCTCACCCTCCCGGGAAGACCAATTACGCTTGAGATGTTGCGCAACAAAATGCTCATCGATCAACTGATAACCACGGTACCGACCGGCTTTCAAGACAAGTTACGCAAGAAATTGATCGATAATCGCGATCTCACCTGGTCGGAGGCTATCGCCAAAGCCGAACAATACCGGTTACATACACATGCCACGTCGCGCGGCGGAGCCAGTTCCAAACCCGGTTCCAAAACCTCAACCTCATCTTGTCCCCAACAACAATGGTGCAAGGGGCACCACGCTTACGTCCGACACGCCCCAAAGGACTGTTGGATCCTGTTACGGCAGCAGGGGCAACCAGTTTCATCCTCCATGGAGATACCTGGATCGACTGCCTCTGCGCGGGCTGAACCACCGCATTTGACCGCAAATAATGTAACTAATAACCGACCATCTTCGGGAAATACCACGTATTGTTTTCACTGCCGTGCGCCCGGGCACATAGGCAAGTATTGTCCGCTATTGTCGCAGGGAAACGGTCGCCTGTGACAGTGAATGCGGCTCACTGTGCAGAAGCGGATTTCGCCGCGCCTCCACCTATTGTGTTACCTTTACAGATTGGCAATACCTTTTTTCCTGCTCTAGTAGATACAAGGGCTTCCCACGCCTTTGTGGCTCAGGCAGTGGTTGATCATTTAAAACTCGCTTCTCAACCCTGTGCCATCCAGGTGCAATCCGCCCTTACTTCTGCAATGGCGAAGGTCTCACGACAAGTTACTCTTAATTTCTCCTTCCGGGGCTTACAATATACTGTCCCCTTCCTCATTCTTCCCCACCTTTCCGATCCACCCATCATTCTTGGGCGTACAGCTCTTCGCCACCTACCCCTAGCTCTGATGATCGATGGCAATCGCGCCTTTGTGGGCTTCCAGCGGACAATTCAAAACCGAGCTGCGCCCACATTGACACCGGGGGAGGGCATTAAGTTCATCGACGGCTCTGATCAAGAGCGGAACCTGCTTCGTCAATTGCTCCTCCGCCATACCGACCTTTTCCATCAATGGTCCGGCAGGCGGGGATTCTTTCCCGAGCACACGGTTCCCCTCAAGACCATCGACAACAAAATTCCGAACACGCGCTCATTCCAACAGTCCGTCGAGATGAACGCGCTCTTTTCTTCTCTGGTGGATGAGTATATTGAAGCGTGGATCATTGAACCCGCTTCCTCCCCTTATAACTCACCGGCTTTTTTAACCAGGAAAAAGAACTCCGACGATAATGCGCCCCCCCACAGGCATTGGCGCCTGGTGGAAAATTATCAGGCCATTAACGATCTTTTAGCTGACAACAGGTACCCAATGCCCGTGATACAGGACCTCCTGGACGCTTTGGGAAGGAGAAACGCCTACTTCTGCAGCTTGGACCTGCACTCGGCATTCCACCACCTACCGTTGGCCGTCCATGACCGACCTAAGACCGCATTTTGGACCCCCAGAGGCCAAATGCAATATCGGGTAATGCCTTTCGGCCTGAAAAACGGCCCCGCAGCATTTCAAAGAGCCGTTAATCATATTTTGCGCACCCATCTTTTTACTCGTTGTTTAGTGTATATGGACGACATAATCGTCTTTGGGGAAACGTTTGATATTGTCATGCAAAATTTGGAAATGATTTTTACAGACCTCGAAAGAGCTGGAGCGGCAGTGGACCTTGCTAAGTCCACCTTTTTAGCCCATAAAACAGTCTTTTTAGGGCACGAAATCAATCAGACCGGAACCAGACCCCTGGATAAGGACCTGGCAGCCGTCCGTCGATTCCCGAAGCCTGAGACCACACGCCAGCTCCAAAGATTTCTCGGCATGGCCACCTACCTACGGGCCCATCTACCAACCAACTTTGCCACGTACGAAAAGCAGCTCCGTCAAACGATCCCCCCCCAAGCCGGCTAACAAACTCCGGTGGACACCCAATGCAGACAATGCCTTCTCACATCTCAAGGAGATTTTGGCCGAATCCGCCCGCCTGGAGCGAATGGATCCTTCTTGCGCAACTGAGGTGCACTGCGACGCCTCCCAAACCTCGTTGGGGGCCATCCTCGTTCAGATCGACGAAGACGGCCAACCCCGCGTGGTGGAATATGCCAGTTGCACGCTGAGTGATACCGAATCGTGCTACTATAATTCCGAACGCGAATTGCTAGCAATAGTGTGGGCAGTTACCAAGAAGTTTAAGCATTACCGCGAAATGCGCGATTTTACAGTGTATACTGACCACAAAGCATTGCTCGGGGAACTTAAGACTACCCGCCTTATTTATTTGCAGACAAAACTGGCCTCTTACAGGGCAAAAATAGTTTACAAACCCGGCCGGTTTTTGAAGGGACCTGACGCGCTGAGCAGAGTCGTCATCAACTCCGCAGATGTCCTTGAGGTGCCAGACGAAGCCGAGCGCATCCGCATCATCGATAGCTACCACCACAAGCAGGGACACGCCGGATGGAAGAAGATCTACCTCACCCTACGGCAACGATACCAATGGCCCTCACTTCGCCAGGACGTCTGGAAACGCATTCAATGCTGCCAGACCTGCTTCAGATACAACATCCGGACAACCAAAGTGGGCGTGCATCTGGATCCCATCGTGTCTTCCCATCCGCGGCAACGGTTAACCCTTGACTTTTACGGGCCACTTCCCCGTACTGCGGCAGGGCATTGCTATGCAATCATTGCGGTGGACCATTTTAGCAAATATATGATGACGCAACCGATTTCTAATGCTGACGCTACCACAGTTATCCCATTTCTTGCAGAAATCTTTAGACAGTTTGGCCTCTTTGAAATCGTCCACACGGATTGTGATTCCGTTTTCCGCTCACGCGCTTTCAAATGGTTTCTACGCAACGCAGGGATCAAGCAACACGTTGCCCAGGCAACACATGCAGAAGGAAATGGATGCTGCGAGAGAGCCATCCGTACCCTCACCCAAGTGCAAGCCAAGGCGACAGAAGGTGACAGTCCTACCTGGGACCAACATATATTTAGTTCTGTTCTAGCCTATAACAACACTATACATTCGTCCACAGGAGTAACACCCTCCGAAGCTTTCTTCCAGAAACCGGCAGTCCTTGAGTCAGACAACACTTTTGGAGTCTCGCCGCCTGACATCACGGAACAGTTGGCCCGCATCCCACAAGTGAACGCCAAGGCCCAAGAACAATTCGCCGCCTCCGCTAACCAACGCAAGTGGCCCCACTTTTGTCCTGGAGAATTGGTCGCCATCCGTCCTAGGCTACCTACGGTGAAGCAGCATGCAGCGGACCGCCGATTCCGCATCCAGCAGTTTTGCCCATTCATGGTTCTCCGCGACCTCGGCCATGGAGCGTACCACGTTGGCGCGGGGCAAAACATCTGCAGAGTAAATGCGTGGGAACTTGTACCTGTCCGCGGTCTTCCTCGCCCTCCAGACCCCATTTGGGAAGAATGCCCGTTCCTTCT